GTACAAAGGCCATTCACTTTTTTGATGGGAACCTTAGGTCGGGGCTATTTAAGGAAGGAATTTAGTCTTCCTCTTAGATCCCATTTTCTCGGGGTTCAAACTTCACAAGATATCCATTGTTCTATAAAATCGAGTGTTATATATATTCAAACCAAAAATTTCGCCGTTAATTAACGGCTAAATCGAGTATTAAATATACACAGACCAAAAATTTCGCAATTAATTAACGGCTAAATCAAGTGTTATATATATTCAAACCAAAAATTTCGCCGTTAATTCACAGCTAAATCGAATATTAAATGTATGCAGACCAAAAATTTCGCAATTAAGTAACGGCTAAAGCGAGTGTTATATATATTGAAACCAAAAATTTCCCCGTTAATTAACAGCTAAATAGAGTATTAAATATAGAGAGACCAAAATTTCGCCATTAATTGACGGCTAAATCGAGTGTTAAAAATGTCGCCGTCAATTAACAGCTAAATCGAGTTTAAAAGTTATTTTAAACCAAGAATCTCGCCTTTAACTTACAGCTAAATCAAGGCTAATAAGACCTAATAATTATTACAAACCGAAAAATTCGCCGTTTATTTACGGCTAAATCAAGGCTGATAATTAGTAAAAACCAAAAAATTCGCCGTTTATTTATGGCTAAATCTAGGCTAATATTTATAACAAACAAAAAAATTCGCCGTTTACTTACGGCTAAATCGCGGCTAATAGTTATTACAAACCAAAAATTTCGCCGTTAATTTACGGCTAAATTACGGCTTTGTATAAAATATTAAATGCAATTTTTTACTAAATTTAATCTATACTGAATGAACTTTTGGCTAAAAATTTTTAATCTATATACAGAAATTTTATTGCAAAATTTTCACTTATATATACACCCCGAACGATGCCAACGAACTTGTACGTCATCAAATTAAATTCTCATCTCGCTTATGTACGTAACTGGCCTATATAGAAAACAAACTTCAAATGCACCCCCTCTGGGTCTAAATTGATGTTTATTGGCTCCTCGTATAATTTAAACAATAAGAATACCCAACAACTTAATACGTCTCATCGCTCCATTACCCGCACTGGCCTTCTTACAAATCATGTCGATATGACTATCCCAACTAAGTTTTTCCAACAACATACCCGTATCACGAACTGACACNATATGTCTAAAAATTTCCTGTTTATCCTCGTCGCCAATTGTAGAGTTTAATATGCGTATCTAAACAACGGATTAAACCGGATTACACCGCGGTCCTTAACTCTCAGACTGCATACTCTCTTCTTCTCGTTCCTATCGTATAATAGTCTTTCTTATATCCCGGCATACACTACACATGCTCCAACGCTTAATGTAAATCAAAACATTTCCTCCAGAAATGTCTTCAGCCGTCTCTTCCGCCTCACTTACTAATTTATGCATTTTGTATAAATTAAATTTTTTTAAACAAGATCATGCGGCCACAAGTCATGGAAACGTGACCGGACAGACGCATATGTATGATGTGTTCTGTGTTTTGTGTACGTGTGCCGTGAAGCTTGACGATAAAGCATCCAGAATAAATGTAAGGGGTCGCTCTTCTTTTCCAATTGAAGCTGAATTGAGGAAGTTGCCGCTAAAGCTTGTAATCGACGACAGCACTCGTTTGTGTTTTCCCTGTCTGCGCAAGCTAAAGAAGAAAAAGTCCTTAGAGGAAAATTTCGCCGCTGCATCGGAAGAGATTGTGCGAAATTATGGAATTGATATAACCCGCGGACTTTGTGCCTTCATTTTCTAGCACACCTAGGCCTACGAAATCCACCGTAAAGTTTTTGTAATTCCCAAAACTGGGACTGACAAAGGGGAAACTTGTGGGATTTTGTTACTTTATTGTGATTTCCCAATTTGGGAAAAAGCTACCAAAACCAACATTGGGTTGAGTGAAACCCGAAAAAAAACCTATATTGGGACTATATTGTGCCAGCTTTAACCCAAAAAACGGGGTTTACCTGATTCATATAAATCCCATAAATGGGATTTTGTCAACCCAAATAAACTTCAGTAATGTGATTTTGTTGTTCAAGTCAAATCCCATTAGTGGGATAATATTGGGCCACTTTTATTCCAATTATTGGGTAATAATAGGGCCACTTTTATCCCAAATATTGGGTTATAAAAGAGCCACTCTTATCTAACACTGGCACAATGAAATCACGTTTTGGAGGAAAATCTGGGTTTAAAAATCGCATTAATGGGATAGATATAGGTTTTTACTAAATTAGTTCTCTCCCAAAGTAACTAATACAATGTAATTTGAATATATCAACAAAGTTGAAATGGTAAATTAGCCACCGTTACGATTATAAAAGCTGACGTTTCGTGCGTTAGCCCTTCGTCGGAGCGAAGGGCTAACGCTCGAAACGTCAGCTTTTATCATCGTAACGGTACCCAATTTACCATTTCAACTTTGTTGATATATTCAAATTATTTCGTTACCCCCATCGACGCAGCCCCAAACAGTTTCTTTAGAAACTATCAGCCTTAACTAATACAATGGTCTACTTTTACCCCAGGGAGTGAAAAACCGTAAATTTCTTACACTTAACTAACCTACTGCAGTGTATATCAAAACTCAAGCACATGTATCTTGCAACATAATACTGTTTAATAATAAAACCACAAAATGAACAAGGTACAGCAATATTATTGTTAACAGCAACATTTTTATTAAACCATTTAGTTATAAGTGTAAACTGAACACTACAGCTGGGCTACACCATACTGAAGTTCTTAATCAAAGAGAAATTTCCTTATAAACAATATCATCCATTTTCATGTTACTTGGATTGACCCCAAGGCTGATGTGACAATATATTTTACGGTTTAATAGGTTTTGGCAATTACTTCCATTAGTTGTGTAACTGTCAAAGGTGTTAGGGAATAATGTTTCACAGAAAATTTATTCTTTAAGACTTTCACTATGTTTTCACAAGTAAGGTTTTCACCAAATATTGCCTTGATAATCAATTGGGAAGACTTGAGTGTTAGAGACTGTATACCAGAAGCTGAAGCATGCTTTAACTAGGGGACACTGGGTTTGGCATTGTCAGGACTTCTATCTTCTGAAATGGTTTCATCAAGTTCACATTTGTCAGCACTAGTATCCACTGAAGCAGTTCCATCATCACTCTCTGCTAGAGACTGTGGTTCTTCAAAGTCATTTTCTGTATAAGTACCCTGTGGGAAATTTAAGAACATTAACCACACCATAAAGAAAACAAAAAAAACATCATCTGCCTAGATTAAAAAAGTCTCAAAATAAAGTTTTGCACATCAGGTGGGTACTATCACATGAAAACACCCAACATAAGTTTGGTCCAAAAACTAAGATTTGCTGGGTAGTACATCATTGGCAAAAGTAAGTTATCAGGGGCCACTAGCCTTGGCAAGAGCATGCCCGGCCATGCAATTTCATTGATTCTGGAAACTCTTAGAACACATTGCTAAAAGTACAATGTAAACAAACACTGATAACACATCTTTTGGCTGGCTTTAAATCGTTTGGACTTGGAGGTCATATCACTGTCATCACTAGCCACTTACTTACATCTCACTGAATCAAAAAAGTGCCTTTTGTGCTATCCCTCGTTCTTCAAAAGGTTTAGACACACATGTAAATTAGGTGGCCCTGCATTCTGTAATTGCTCCGATTTTCCCTTTAAAAAAGCTAGAATATTTGCCTACCAGTGAGCAATGCAATGGGCTTCATCCACCGCTACAACAACCACATATTTTTGGTAAACGTGAGAGCAAATCATCTCTCGCCAGCGATCATTTGCCAGCATGGCTTCTGGGCGACAAATACACGATGTTCACTCCCCCATTCACAATTTTTTGGGGGGGCGAGAAGAGCGGTGAAGGGGTCTCCAGGGATGGGGGTTGAGAAGAGGGGGGGAGTGATCTTTTGAGTATCAAGGGATGGCCAAACCTGGACTATACACTGAAAGCTCTTTTCATCTGAGATAATTTACTTGTCCTTGCAAAATTACATTTTATTAACGATGCCTTTTTTTGTTTTATTCGCAGATATTCTGATATTTGTGGTTTTGTTCCAACCATTTACTGATTTTCATCAAGAGAAAATCAATTTCCCTTGTTTCTCATTTGTTCTGAAACTACTTGCTAAGGCAAAGTGTATTTTGTATTTACTTCTCTTTACGAAAAGCTTGTTTACCCGTCCAAGAAAAACTTTTTGTCAAAGTGCAGCCATTTTGGTGCTGTTGAATTAATTTACTGTTCTACAATGAGGATAACAAGTTTATTCTGAAGCTACCCGCTTATGCAAATTGTACCTTGTCTTTTAAAACTTCTCTTTACCAAAAGTTTTTTAACTATCCAAGAGAAGAGAACCTTTTTGTTAGAATGAAGCCTTTTAATGACATCGGACCAATTTGATCCGTTTAACCATCTCATCGTAGTCACCAGGAGCATTTTGAGTGGTGATTATCTGTCGAATCAAGAATAATCATGGATAAAGGCTCCGCAACTGCAACCCCCCGCCCCTACCCTCTATCCTCCATCCCCAAACCATTCGAACTTAAATTGAACAAATCGATCGTACTAAATTAACTCAGGTGAAAACAGCTTTGAGTGGATAGTCCAGATTTTGGCCATCTCTTGTTACTCAAAGGACCCCTCCCCCCGCTCTTCTCTCCCCTACCATCCCTAGATATAGAAATCCACAGACCCGTTTTCTTTGATCAGATGGTTAATTACAGCGGACCTTTCCAATCTTCTTAACCATCGAATCGAAGCCACCAGGAGCATTATGAATGGCGATCGTCCGTCAAATCAAGAGTAATCGTGGATTAATATTTGCGCAACTGCGCGCCCCCTACCCTCCCCCTCCCCGAACTCATCGAACTTTAATTGAATAAATTGATCGTACCAAAGGTGAAAAAAGCTTTGAGGTTTGGCCATCTCTTATTACTCAAAGGACCCCCTTTCCTGCTTCTTCTCTCGCCACCCCCCCCCCCTCCACTTATCCCTGGATTTAGAAATCAACAGACCCGTTTTATTTGATCAGATGGTTAAGGGCATCGGACCAGTCCGATGCCCTTAACCCGGAATCTTATCGAAGCCGCCGGCTGCAGGAGTATTATAAATGGCGATCGTCTTTCAAATCAAGAGTAATCATGGATGAATGTTTGGGCGATTGCACCCCGCCCCCTTAACCCAACGAACTTAAATTGAATAAATTGAAACGCTCTGTCCTCACATTTTGAAGTTATAAATAGAAATAAGCTATCTACATGCCACACTACTTCTAGAACACTACAAGGGAGAGCGAAAATATGCAAAACCAGAATTAGAACCACAAATTGTGGTTCTAGATATTATTATTTTTAACCTAAAAGTAGAAGTGGAACAAGGCCATTATATCAAATCATTACCACGGCATCGAAATAATTATAATAAAAAAAAGCACAACGTTATCAAAAAAGCGAGCCATAAGCGACATGATCCAGTGGTAATTATAAGATTTAGACTGAAAATCTATAGCTACAGTTTGAAGGCCTGGAGCCGGTTTCACTTTTAACTTCCTAACGTTTAATTTCTGCACACTACTTACATGTTTTGAGCAGGAGTAAATTCGGGAGCGACAATGGTTATGCATCTTTTTCAATCATATAACTAAACTAATTACCCATGTGCGCCTTTACTGATCAGCTTTAAAGATCAGTTTTGTCTACAAGAGAGAGAGCGGAATCTTAAAACTTCCTGATTGAAGAATTAGAGTAGGTGGTACGTCCGGAGATCAAAACTTCGGGCTTGTAACATGGCAGGGTCATGGGGTTGTGCCCCGGGCAGGGCAGATGCTACTGAGAGTAGCAACACTCCGAGTAGACTTGTGTTATAGAAGCTGAGATAAGCTCCGAGAGGGTGAACCTTTAAGGCTCGTAAATTGATCTTACCTTTTTCAATTTTTTAATGATTTTAGTAGGTTCTCCCCTCTCCTCAAGATATTCTTTCCGATGTTAAACGATTTCTTCAATTTAGCTGGAAGGGTTGGCCCTCCGCTGTCGGTAATCCCATCACGGGTAGATGTTACTGCACTGGTATCTTGGCCAGTTTTAATATAATCACCTGTGCTGTCATGGAGCCTGTTTTGAAGAGGCTTCAATGAAAACACGAGAAAGCTACCTGTCTCTTCGAGAATTGTTGATGGTAGAGAATCTCCTATAGATAAAACAAAGGTATGCCAGGATTGTCGTTACAAAAGATCATTTTTGTGCCGCTACGTACACGCCCCTGGCCTACATAGGTTAGATTTCAAAGAACGTTCACTTTTGTCTCTTTGGTGTTTTGACTGACCTCTTTTTTCTACACATTCGTTGCTATTGGTTAAATATATCTCTCCAATCTGAAGACGATTTCTAAAAATCTTGATCCGTTGGATCTATTTCTCAGCGTTTGTAGTTGTAGCAAGTGAAAAAAACTGACTAGTACCTATGGGGGGACAAAAGCTACCTAATTCGATTTATTATTTTTTTTTTGCATGAGGTCTTCAGTGGTAAGATTTCCTCTTTTTCACTTTTTAAAAAAAGAGGGAGGGAGAAAAAGAGCGAATCGACATACTTGACTTTTACCCCGCCTATTCTCACGGCTAATTTTCATTGATTAGCTTTTTCGTTGTTTCTGCCTGAATTTCAGATGTCTTGGACTTAGCGACAGCTATTACTGAGATGGGTAGCTTGGAATAGCACCTATTGTCTATCTAGTTACAAAACTAAACCTGAAGCTCTCGGGCTTGGAATTCAAAGTGACACAAACAACAAAAATGACATGCACCATATTTTTCCGTCTTCGCGCACTTAATTCGGGCCAGTAAGCAAATAGAAATCGCTTCAAATTTCGAAAATTACTCAAATAAAGTAGATTGAAATGCAACTAACCCTTGCCAAATGCGGCAATTGCAAAAGCAAAAATCTCGATCCAAATCACTCTCATCTCATTTTTTTTAGGAAATCATCGCTGCATAAATAACTCCGAGGCTCTCCGAAAGAAAAGTGACTGAAATGTGAACTTAGAAACAATCATTTTTGGCGTAAAGACAGCAGAGTGAAAATAACTCTCAAAAAAGAAAGTCTTTGTTCAGCTCTGAAATTATACTAAAATGGGCTATAGATAACTCTCTAGCAGTTAGACAGCGGAGTACATTTTGATGACAATGATTCGCTGAACAGGGATTTATCCGTTGGATAGTGTCATCTACTCTTTGAACAACAGGGCCGAGAGCTAGATGAAGCAAGCAAAACTCACCTTTAGACATTTTTGACGACTTTATGAGGTGAAACATAATCATATTTGGCAACAGGCTTGGCGAAGTCTAACTCATAGTAGCTGACATAGTCCTTGGGTTCCATGCCCAAGTTGATCATCTGTAAATCGAGTGAAAGGAACATTCTATGAGACACCAAAATTGCGACCAAGTACGACCTATTTATGGGATCCCTGTGGTCTGACATCTGTTTGCATAGTACCTTGCGTGAGTAAACACTATGAACTCAGAATTTTGACCTTTTGTTCCAAGAAAACCTTGAAATTGTTCTGTACAGAAACTTGAAACTATCACAACTTGAAAATTTACAGTACCTCCTGGACCAAGTTGAGTGGAAGGGTATATCTCTTTGGGCTCTCCAGAATAATGGATTTTGCAATCTCTATATCGTCTGAAAGCGATGCTCTCCTCTTGCCAGAAGTCTTCTCCTTGATTGCTCGACGTTTCTCCTTGGAATGTTGCAGCCTCTCTCTATAGGGCGAGTCTGGTGCAATCACTGAACAGGCAGTCTCCAGTTCATCGGCAAAAGACACCCTTTTTTTATTCAATCCTTTGTCTGACTCAGGACCTAAGCAGCACTCCTTGATAATGTGTCTTCGTTGTGAGGCCTTCTTCTCGAACGTTTTATTCTTTGCACAGTCGCCAATGATGGATTTAGCAATTATAATGCTGTCAACCAGCGAGTTTCTCCTTTGGGAACTTTGTTCCTTGATGAGCTTCCTCGTTTCAAAATTTCGCGAGTCCCTCTTCTTGTCGTTAGCCATCACATCCGCGGCCTTCCTTTCCTCGTGTTGGTGGGTGGCGCCTTCTACATTCCTGGTGGTCAGATGTTCATTACTCTGCTGACCACAGCGTGCTCTGACCAAATTGACCAAATTTCCAGCAACTTTGAGAGCAAATTAAAACAAAGGGATCAATACGCAATCCGACTTAATATGAAACAACCAATCAGAACAAAAGTGGCCTCACAGAGAGCCAATAAAAACGTGGAGTAAAGACCAAGTAAACTACGTGAAGTGTGTGGGTGATGCCTGACTCTGGGTCGAGAGGTCCTGGTTCGAGACCTGGCCGTGTAATTGTGTTCTGGTACTGGGTCTAACTACCAGGGCCTCTCTCCATCAAGGAGTATTAGCAGGCAGGGGAAGAACTGAGAAGGAATTGTACGGGAAAGCTGAAGGGAAACATTCTTAATAACATATGATGTAAGTTCAAATCCTTCCTGTATAACCTTTTAGCTCTTTACTTAATAAAATAAGATCTTTACCTGCTAAAATAAGATGTAGCGAAACTATCAGCTCTTTTAAACGCAAATGTATTCAGCACATAAAGGAGGGGTACGCTAATATTGATCATATCCGAATAACCTAATATTCTTAACTTTTATTCTTTTATTGCATGTTGATAGCTAGTTTATTTCCTCTTATTGTAATTACTATAGTAAGACATTTCTAAATTATTGCAATTGCTTGTAACTTTATCTTATTGTAATTTAAAGGCGAGGGCCACAAGTTTCTCAGTCTAACGACTGTAAAGTACTTCCCTCGTTAAATAAAATTATTTATTTATTTTATTTTATTCATTTAGAACACCTGTTGCATCAAAGAAAATGAAACAAGTTTCGCTTCCTTTGAGACAACAGGTGTTGACACTCCAACATTCAATCCCATCACACCTAGCAGGAGTGAAATAAGGGAGTCATGTGTTAACCCTTTATACCTTAACATCAGTATGCATATTCTAAGTTACTCTTACTGCTACGTTACTCTTATGATTCAAAGAGTCAGTTTGCATAGGGAACTAAGGCAACATTTAACAAAAGTATTTGATGCCAGCTGGTAAGCTTTAAATTGCAACCAGTTGAAATTTTGATTCAAATTATGCTGGTTCTAGGATTTCAGCCATTAAAACAGTTTTTGAAATTCCAGAACAGGCATCACTTGATATACCTTACAGGGCTCGAAATTGCGACCGATACAGTCGCCAATGCGACTAAAACTTTTAAGTTGGCAACTAAAAGTTCGAGTTTAGTCGCCACTTCGGCGACTAAACTAACTTCCTCTGATAAATAAAAGATTGTAGATGAGAAAAATTTCTTAAGTCTCGTTTCTGCTTTTCTGCCGAAGGAAATGCAAATTAAGTCTGTTTACCTTTAAGCTAAAACTTGAAATGGCTTTCACATTGCGACTTCCGAGACGACATATAACAGTAGCTTCTTCATGGTGATCGCGGGCGCAATATTTTGGTGAAAAGCTTCTGAATTTAAAATGAATCCGTTGAGAACAGGAGGTCTGGTACTAAATGCCTATCCGCCATGTTTGATAAATGTTTGATGCCTTCGTATCGTACGATTTCTTGCATGCGATGTGACATATTTTCCTTGCTAAAGTAGCCCTGAAATGTTCTTATTACTTTTTTCGCTTACTGCTTAAGGTAAGATTGTCATGCAAAAGTCTTTCGGAGTTTCTTCTTTTGTGTTTTCATGTTTTAAGTCATTCAAGATCGAGTATTTCGGTCTACCCCACAATCGCAGCCACAATCCACCAGAAGCCGAACAACAACGCCAATTGAATAAGGCTCTAATCTGATTTCTGTTCTTGTACTATCTGGCGACTGCATTTTTGCACTTGGCGACCATTTTTTCTCTGATAGTCGCCAAAAGGCGACTTGGAATTTTTTTTAATTTCGAGCCCTG